GTAATTATTTGGCAAGGGTGCTGCTAGTATGTCCGCCGAGAACGGGTGTCCTCGAGTGCGCCTCTCTGCTCGACCATCCACCTTAGCCTGCAATTGGCGCAGCTGTTCCGCCATCCTCTCCATCTCTCGGTCATGTGTGGGCCCGCCTCCACCATAACTGGATTCATCCTCCTCCGCGTTTTGGCGTGACCCTGCAATAGTGTTCGGCATTGCCGTAGCCCGAGAGAGACTGTTTGTGACTTGCTGAACTGCTTGCGCGGCCGCCTCCACCACCATTTGTTGCATCTCCTGCCTGGTCATTATCACCTGCTGGTCGGGGACCTGAATCGCTGCTCGCGGCGGTGCTCCTCCTTGGGCCACCGCTCTTTCTGGTTGCATCCCCGTTCCTCCCGGTTGCGCCACCGTCGCTCCCAGTTGCACTCCCCCTCCTCCTGGTTGCGCTGCCGTTGAGCTGTGTGGTGGTGGTGGTGGCATCGCCGCCGCGTCCGCTGCGCGGGCCTCGTGAGCACGATTGGGGCCAGCGTCTCCTCCGGGAATCGCCGTTTCCACTCCCACACCTTGGAGCACAGGTACGGGAGTGATCGGCGTCTGTGATGGGCCAGAAAAACCCGGGGGAGGACCCTATCCCAACGGCCTGGTTGTTGTCCAAGCATCATCGTACGTTGATTGTAAGTTTTTGGGAATTCCGTCCGCCATAGCTGAGCTTCAAGCACAACTTTTCAAACGAAAGTCCCACAGACGGCGCCAAATGGTAACACAAAACTTCTCGAACGGCTGGAACTTGAGTAACCGCCTTCCTTCTCACCGGTTGAACGTCGTGCACCTACAAAGAACTATCACACCGGAGGGGTTTTCCGGTGAAGAGCCTCCGAAGCTTAAGTCAGTGTATGTTCAATCAATTCTCAAGAGTAAGTAGTAGAATGATCGTGTTGAAGAAGAAAGGCTCACCCCCTTTATATAGGGGTGAGATACCTGACCTAGGGCTGCCCGGATTTGATGAGCTGTCTGCCCTAACTGCCCGTCCGTACACACCAAACGCGTGTGTCAGAGGTAGCCGTCGCCACTATCGCCTGCACCAATCCTCTTTGGATGCGTGTCCTCCTGCACATGGGGTAGGCTGTCAGAGGTGGTTATCGCTATCCACCACTGCCTTCTCGACACGTGACCCCCTGCACATGGGGTAAATATTCTTCTGGAATTCTGTCAGAGGCTCCTTCACGCGCCTATGACTAGGCCGAACAGCGTGGTGTTAAGTCCTCGAAGTAATCGACCTGTTGAGGTCGAATAGGTTGCTCGATCGTGTATCTGCTCGAAGGATAGTTTGGTCGACTGGTTAACTGCTCGATTTCTTTGACTTCCTCATAATACGACCTCCTCGACTGGTCAATAGACCGATTCAGCCTAATGGGTATAATATCCCATATCAATATTCCTATTGCAC